CGCCCGGCCCGGCGCGGCAGCGGGGAGGGCTGAGAGCGTTTTGGGAGCGGGGAGGGCCGGGCCCGGCCGCGGGGAGAGCGAGGCCCGGAGAGGGGAGAGCCGGGCCTGGGTGCGGGGAAAGCCGGTCCCGATCCCGGGGAGACACCGGCCCGGGAGTGGGGAGAGCCGGGCCCGTTTTGGGAGCGGGGAGAGCTGTGCGGGGAGGGGAAGGCCAGGCCCGGCCCGGGAGCTGGGAGAGCCGGGCCCCTTTCGGGAGTGAGGAAAGCTATGCCGGTGTGCGGGAAGGGCCAGGTCTGGAGCAGGAGCGGGGAGAGCCCGGCCCGGGAGCGGGGAGAGCTGAGTGCATTTCGGGAGCGAGGCCCGGCCCGGTGCTGGTGCCGGTGGGATGTTGGGGAGCTGAGGGCGCTGCTCGGGGGTCGTCGTCAGGGCTGTGTGTTTCCTTAACCACCCCATCAGCTCCCAGCTCACCATCAACACGGCCATCGTGTACATGCACCGCTTCTATATGGTGCAGTCCTTCACCCAGTTCCACAGGAACGTAAGTGTGCTGGGGTCTGGCAGGGTGGGGGGCACCGGGAACCCCCCAGCTCTGCTCCTGCTGCTGCCTGGCAGCCGGCTCCGGGGGCGACGCGGTGGGACCGACCCTGGGGAGGGGGCTTGGGAAAGGGAGGGGTGGTTCATAGCTGCCGGTAGTCACCAGAGACCCTTTTCCCTCCTGGTGGCGTTTGGACTTGTGCAGGCTTTGTTTCCTAAACGAATATTTGTTTTAGATGTGAGAATTAACCTAATTTATTTGCTTTAATTTTGGAGTTATTAACTTTAAAAAAAAAAATGTTGTTTTTTTTTCTCTGAAGTCGGTGGTACCAGCAGCTCTGTTCTTGGCAGCCAAGGTGGAGGAGCAGCCTCGTAAGCTGGAGCACGTAATCAAGGTAGCACATGCCTGTCTGCATCCCCAGGAGACTGTTCTAGACACCAAGAGCGAGGTAAGTGTCGAGATCGGAGAACTGGGCTCTGATGTGAGGAGTGGAGGCACGAGGAATGGGAATGGCGGAAGCGTGCTGCATCCTGAGTCGCGTGGCTACGGCGTCTCGCTAAATCGGGTTCAGCAGCGCCCCCTCTCTTAACGGTAGCAGCGCCCGCTCTCTAAGCGAGCGGCTGCGTCCTAGGATGGTCAGTGACAGCTTTCCAATTCGACTGCTCTTACGCTACTGAGAGCTTTTTGGCTTCTGTACAGCAGAAGGCTTTTCTTTCCTGCTCTGTGGCAACCTCTCTTCTGTTCTCCTCTGCTGTGCTGCTGCAAATGTGACTCAGATGTGCTGTGTAACAATGTCTGCGTGAAAAGCTTCTGAGGAGGGCACGGATGTTGGCTGCTGCGATTGAGTAGTGTCTGTGGCAGAGCAGAAGGTGGTGTGCGCAGTTGGTTCTGTTCTGTCCCCACACGTTTAATGGTGGGTTTGTTAAAAACGTTGCTGATTCCCCATCTCTCGAGACAGCCCGTCTTACCTGGAACTGAGCAGCCGACCCCGCTGAAAAGGGGCAGCTTTATCCAGGAAAGCTTAAGGAAAAAATAAAAAAGCAGCTAATTCCTCTCCTGTACTGCTCGTATAGCCGTCCTGTGCAGTGCGAGGGACCAGGACTGAGAGGGCCGCTGTGGATCCCGAAGCAGCCATCCCCTAGCAGAAGCCCTAGCAGGGGAGCGGGTCCGCCCCAGCACTCTGCTTTCTCTTTTCTGGCAGGGAATCTGTGCCAGTTCCCCCAGTGCAGATCGGCATAAAGATTCCCCTTTGCTATTTTTGCCTCCCTGAGAAAAGGGTGTTAGAAATGTGCAGGCTTTATACGGAGTGCCTCATCGTGAGTAACTTGCCTGTCCTCTCAACCCCAGGCTTACCTGCAACAAGCCCAAGACCTGGTCATTCTAGAGAGCATAATACTGCAGACCCTGGGTAAGTTTTTCAAAGCGGACGGGCTGCCACACGAATCCCAGACCCAGGAGTGTTCCGCAGAGCGGAGAGCCTAACCGCACAGTCTTCTCCACAGCTGGAGGGCAGATGTACAGCTGGCCAGTGGGAGAGCAAGAGTCCAGGCAACAAGCTCTATTTTTTGCACCCACTCCTTCTGTTTTCCTTTTAACATCAGTTTTTTCAGGTGTAACTTGTGTCAGGTTCAATGCTCAGAGAAATTAAAGTGTGGAAGTGTGGCTCGTCTCTTTTTTTCCCCCTACAACAGGTTTTGTACCGCTTGGACACTGGTCGCTGTCCTCCGTTGTGCTGTTGAACTCGATAATGCTCTAGTCCTGTGGCCAGGAAGCAGTTCGCACTGAGAGATGTCTCGCAAAACCTGGGTTGAAAGTTAATATTTTGATCAGATAGCTGAACATGGGGAAAAACAAACAAACAAACAAAAACCAAAACAGCAACAGTTTTGGGTTTTTTTTGAAAGTAGCAGCTGGAGCCTACGTTTAGGGCTGCGGCCGTTGGATCTGGTACCCTGTTCCTTTCTAAAATGTTCTGTTAAAAGTTGTTTTTACTAACACACGTTCCGTTTCAGAGGCAGTTTGTAGGTAGCGCTCTGCTCCAAAATACTCAGTAGGCCTTTGTTATTTCTGACTCGGTTCAGAGCAAATGCCGTTAGCCCCTTGCTCAGGAGGGGCGGGAGTGTTGAGGGGTCACAGGCGCTGGCCTTGAAAAGCCAGTGGCTAAACTGCGACCCCAGTCCTGCAGTGACTCGGTTCTCCAGTTGCCTTTGTGAACGTCCCAGTTCTTCTAGAATGTTCTGCATGGGAAGAACCAAATCTGTTGCACACATGGACCGATTTGAATTTTTTTTTTTTTTTCTGTAAAACATAATGCCCAAACTGAATAGGAAACTGAAGCGAGGATTAAGTTCAGTTGTCGTTAGTGCTGTAGGCTCCTTCAAAGGGAAAACGTCTGCTTCCTTTTAGCTTTTTGGGTGACAGAAATTCCTTTGAGCAGATGCCATTGTCTTCTCCTTCCTCCCAGCTGCTGTAAGAGGCTTTGTCCTGCTATTTTTAAAATCCTTAATAGTTGTTTTGTTTTCAGTGAGGTCTTTCAAGCGCAGAAGTCATTTAGCTGCTTGGAGGTCTGGCAGCAGCAGTGACCTTCGGGTTTTGTGACTGGAGAACTTGAGTCTTCTGGATACAGGAAAACGGGCTCCTCTATTCCTGCTTGCTTCCGAGCAGAGAGCAGGGGCTGTAGGAGGGAAGGGAGAAGGCCTTGTCCCCCAGGAGCAGGAAACGTGAGGTTCGTAGATCCGTGGGGGTGTGCTGCTGGTTTTCTGATGGCCATATGTCTGTGTTCTTCCAGGTTTCGAGATCACTATTGACCACCCCCATACCCACGTGGTGAAGTGCACCCAGCTAGTGCGAGGTAAGCGATGTCCGATGTCGGGTGCTTGCGGCTTCTCCGCGTAACCTTAGCCTGATAGAGAAGAGCTGTGAAAATACGTTGTCGTGTTTAGCTGGGATTGCCCGAGAGCTTGCCTGCAGTCAGCCTCCTTAATAACCATAACGAATGTCAAAATAGAGGCAGTCGCACATGACTGACGCGATGCCGCGGCTCGTCTGCAACCC